CCCCAAAACCCCAAAACCCCAAAACCCCAAAACCCCAAAACCCCTACCATGTTACCAATAATTGAACTTAATAGTCATCTAAATCGGGAGCAACATCTGCTTGTTCCATTTGCATCGTGTAAAACTTACTACTGAGATCTTTCTCCTGCTTGATGTGTGTATGGAAGCTCGAAATATTGTTCCTGATAGAGGATATTCCATTCTGCATCGTTAGCAGAAGACGATCCAGGTTGATAATATAATCTTCCACATCACTTCCGGGTAGATTAACTTCATGTCTCAGTTTCTCCTGCTCTTTGACTATACGATATGGTTCAAGACCGTACCTGAATTTATTGTGTTTTCAATGAACTTGTGATGGTCAGAGATCAAGTCATCCTCCTCTTTGAGAATCAAATCAACCAGTTTGTCATGGTTCATTTTGAGATCTTGGAGGTCAGAGTCTACTGGCTCTTCGGTTGGCATGCCAGTCTCTAGCAAAGGCTCATCATCGATGTAGTAGTCCTGCTGGGAGCTAGCAGGCTCTTGTTGATACATGGAATGCTTAGGCATACTTGATTCAGTATCGATGGTGTTGGATTCCTTCCTCATCCGATGTGCGTTCTCGATGTTGGCATCAAGCCTTCTCTCAACGTCAATGTCATTTTCTAGAGAGTTAATGTGAAACCTTTACCAAAGTTGTCCTGGTGAACTATCTTCTTGTTCATTGTTGCAGCTGCTCCGCTCGGATTATTTTGGAGAAGTTGATGTATCCTGTTTTGGTTTACCCCTTTCAGTCCTGCATTTGAAGATTCTGATTTTGGCTTCTTGGTAAGTGTTGGCCCACCCCCTATACCAGGGATTCCAGTCTTTGCCCGAGAAAGGTTCCCTTTGGTATAGGCTGCTGTTTGGGGTCTACTGCTATTGGTCTTGCTAATTTTCTTGTTTTCCATATTGTTTTGAATGGCAGCCATCCCTGTGAGCTTTTTCTTCCCTTCGAATGAATTATTTCCTTTTCAATTCATACTTTTTCGAATTATTGGATTGCCTAGGGAGCATTAGGGAGTTGGAGGTATCTCTATTCTCTTTCTTGAGTTCCTTAACTCTGTCTGCATATCTTAAAGTGTTCAAAGTGTGTTCACAGCAACTGATTGTTGGCCCGATGTTAGCTACCATTACAGTCTTACATTTGTTACCTTGAAAAGAATCCTTGAGGACCATAGTCAACTTACTTCCTCTGAATGGTGTATGCTTCTTAGATTGATCCAGAGCTCGGATACATTCTTTTAAGGCAAGTAAAGATTTGTTAATTTCTGCTCCATCCATTCTGGTCTCTTTCTTACTGTCGAATGCATCTGCTCCTCTCTCACTTCCAGCCAAGTCGATGAATGACATCTTGCCGAACAATTTGCCGTTGTCCTGCTTTATCGCAATCTGAAGAACTGCGTGCGACCTCGACGAGTCCGAGTTCATGGCGGTGGTGCCTGTGGTCCGCGAACTCAGGCCGAAGTCGATGACCTCCATCGTTTCTTCGACACTCGTGATCTGGGCCTCAGTCAGCCCCATAATTTTGACTTTCTGGCTTGCGTTTTCTCTGGCATGCACGAGTTTGCGGCCGTTCAACAAGTCGTAGAGTTTTCCTCAGTAGATCTCGTAGAACGAAATGTACACTGAGAAGTCGCTCATTGAGTCGTCTTCCATCAGTGCGAAAATGTCGTTGGCAGCGAGCAAGTACATTCCGGGTATTTTGTGTTCGGAGTCACCGGGAGGACCCATCATGGTATGTGTTTTACCGCTTCCAGTCTGGCCGTAGGCGAAGCACGTAACCTTTGATCCCAAGAATAACGCAGATACTAAAGGTTGAACTACTTGTACATAAAAATCTTGATTAGAAATAGCTTCATCGAAGACCTGGTCGAATACGAAATGGTGTTCCTCGATATATTTTGTTAAGTCGACTTTTTCCTTTAATTCTTTAACTACAACAGTCTGGGGCTCAAATCACTCAACGACATCTTGTTCGTTTTTATTAATTTCTTTCTGGCTCATGGGTCTTTTTCTGACTACAACTCTGATCTTTGGTAGCTTGGATCTATAAAAGAGGTTATTGCAACACAAATGGACTGGCTCAAGCCAAAGCCAAGGTTGGTCACTTACCCATCTATATACGAATCAGCTTGGCTTGCACCCTCCATTTGGGATTTAATATTATTAATCTCTATTTAATAATTTGAATTTGGGGTTTTGGGGTTTTGGGGTTTTGGGGTTTTGGGGTTTTGGGG